TTTTGTTTTGTTTTTTTTAAAAAAAAACACGGAACACTTCACAAATTTGCATGTCATCCTTGCATGGGGGCCATGCTAATCTTCTCTGTTATCACTCCAATTTTAGTATATGTGCTGCCAAAGTGAAGCAAGCACTGTGATTCGGTTTAAAATGAAGATAACATTACCTACCCTTACTGAGTTCTTGTAAGGATTAAGTGACTTAATAATACACATAAAGCATTTACACAATGCCTGATAAATAATACATGCAGCCTTACTATTATTTATCTTAAATAATTCTTAAAATTATTATTATAGATTCTGAAGTAGTTTTAGAAAACCGAGCAAATTCAGTGATAAGGTAAGAAATAAGAACATTTAGAATAAATGAAAGAAAGAGACAAGCAAGTCCTAGAAACAGTATTGCCTAAAACTGAGAAACCTTCCAAATGAATCCTTAAGGCCTTACAGTAAAATTTAAAATGCAAACAGAGATACTCCCAATATCATTCTTTCAAACAGAATCAACAAGGGCACAACATGGATTTTCCTAAAAGATTATCAATTGAATGCAGGATGAACACGGAAATGAGTTGAGACTAGACCTAAACATAGTCCTTAAGGTAGATAAAATGTTGCCAACTCACTAGGGAGGATGGAATGGTAATTAAAAATCCTATTCCCAATGTCTTAATTTACTCAAAAATATCTACAGTTAGCACAACACAATATAACAAAAAGAACAGAGACCGTGAAGTCTTAAGAGCTGAGGTCTAGTCCCAGTTCCGCCAACTCTATAGTTATGTGACCTTACTAAGTCTCTCCAGCTATGAGTTTCTTCATCAGTATGATGAAGAATATGCTTTTTACCTAGCTCAAAGGGTTGTGATGAGAACTAAATAAGATTATATGTATGAAAATGCTCTTTAAAACACTATAAAATTATGTCTAAATATTAAATGTTTAACAAATAACAAAATCTTTTAAACCACCTGCACAGGTAAAAGATTCAAGGTGAAACACAATTCTCAACAAAATGACCTACAGACTTTAGTCTAATAAAAGTTCAGTATGGCTCTAAAAATAACATGGCTGTCCAAAAACCTATGTAATATTTGACCAAATTAATAGACTGAACAGTCTAACAAAAAATAACAGATCTACAGTGTTCTACATTAAACAGCCTCCTTTCGGAATATTATGTTCAGTATTAAAGAACTCTGTTTGGAGAGAAACTGAAAAATCGGAAATGTGTTTGGGGGGACAATAAGAGTAATAACAAATGTCTCCTCTAATGAAGAATAGTTAAAATATTTGGAATCCTGGCTTGGAAAAAAAGGACAAGGGATGAGTGATAGTGATCTTTAAATGGTTAGACTTAAACTCTGTATTGCACTGGAAGATAGAGAACAAGGGTGGAAGTTATAAAGACAAAGATGTAGCTTAATAAGAAAGAACTATGTAATAATAAGAATATTCTATAACGGGAATGGACAACTTCCTAAACAAAGTGTGTCCAGTCCCTGTATGTTCAAAAGTAGAAGCTAAATCAGGTAGGCATGTTACTTTGGGTAGGTTAGATTTTACAGAGGTCTTATGAAATCCCTTTCAGGTAAGATTCAGACAACTACCAGAAATGGCAGCTGATAGGGCTGGCCGGTTGGCTCAGTTGGTTAGAGCACGGTGCTCATAACACCAAAGTCCTGGGTTCGATCCCTGTACCAGCTAGCCGCCAAAAAAAGAAAAGAAAAGAAATGGCAGGTGACTAAGGCAGATGTTGGTAGATGTAGCACCCTATCCTGGTATCACAAGAAATAAGGTTATAGAAAGTGAAAAAATATGGAAACACCAACTCTCATTATAACTAGTACAGCTATTTATAAACAAACCACAGTGTTGTCACTGTCACTCTCTGCCACTGTGTTTTGGGCCTCACCTCTTCTCCTATGATCTAATCCTTCTCTGCCAAATCTTGTAACTTAAGAGCCCTGTGAACCCTTTAAGGCTGTCAGGAAAACTGTTTTCTTTTTAATCACTCTTCAACTAAGCAAGTCATTACATTTCCTGACACCTAACACCAATGCAAGACAAAAAGAGAAACAATAATTTGTCTTTTATATTTTTCTTTTACTTCTTTTAATTAATAGACTTTATTTTTTAGTTTTAGGTTTACAGAAAAATTGAGTAGAAAGTACAAAGGTTCCCAAATACCCTCTTCTTTCCTGCCTTCCCCTCAGTTTCCACCATTTTTAACATCTTGCTTTAGTGTGGTATATTTTTCATAACTGATGAATCAGTATGGATACATTACTATTAACTAAAAGTCCACATTTTACATCAGGGTTCACTCTTTGTACTGTACATTCTATACTTTTAGCGGTTTTTCTAAAATGATTTTTTTTATTGTGGTTCAATATACATAACATAAAATTTACCATCTTAGACTTTAAGTGTACAGTTCAGCACTGTTAAGTACATTCACACTGTTGTGCAACCAATCACCAGAATTCTCTTCTTGCAAAACAGAAACTCTACATCCATTAGGCAATATTATATTTTTTCTTAAGCATACTTATGTAATTTTAAAATCTAATGCTCTCACGTAATCTTTTTGTCAATTTTTTCCTGGAATCAAAATTCCAACTTACCATCATGTTAATATATCCAATAGCTATAAAAATTTAATTTTGCTTTATTTCACCACATATAATAAAAACTAAGATTCAATACCAAAACATATATTCACCCCAAACACTATTAATTTTGTGCTTCAGTAAAGAATAGGGATATAACTAAGAAATACGTTAAGTCCCTTTAAATCAACATTTGACATTCACATCATGTTTAATCTGATCTAAATATTGTGCTACATTTTGAAATACCACAAAATAATTAATTCCATTAACGTATACATGCAAATTCAAAGACTTAAACAGATTTTTATATGTGGAAAGGAGAGGAAACTAGAAAAATTAGCCCAGTTAACTGTTGGCCACAGAGAAACTAACCCTAGGTATCCCAGCTTATTTTGCCAACAAATGAGGATTTTTCCTATAAGAATAAAACCCAACCTACATTGAACAATCAGCTGGAAAAGAAGCTTCATTATTTAGAATTTTGCTGTACAAATATTTTGAAAATCTTTAATCAATTCATTCATGTTTAAGTCACTCTGTAGGCCAATTCTCCATTTTAAATATTGTATACTTATCCATTCCTCTCTAGCTTTCAATCACATCCTCAGTCTAATCCCTATTCTTATAATCCGTTTCTCAATGCTTTTTTTTTTTTGGTGGCTGGCCAAGTATAGGGATCTGAACTCTTGACCTTGGTGTTATTACATCAATGCTTTTTTCCCCATCTAATCTAACTTATAAAGAAGGATTAGTACAACAGGCCCCAGTTAGCCTCTCCAACTACTATATCTTCAAAAACAAAAAGTCACTTCCATCATTGGGCAAGTTATTTAACCTTTCTATGCCTAAGTTTCCTCATATGTAAATTAAGGATAAAAAATGGCTAGCATTCTATTACTGTGTATCTGGCACACAGGAGGCAGTAAATTATTAAATGACTAACTCATAAAACTGTTAAACATTAAATGAGGCAGTGTATGTAAAGTACTTAGCACATTTCCAGGCACACTGAAAGTTTACATTAAAATTTTTACTCTAATGTAGATTAAATCAAAATTTTCAGTGGGTTCCCATTTCCCCCAAATTCCAATTTAAACCTTTCTGTCCTGTTTTAGAAGAGTCCTGTGGTTATAAATAAGACTTTTGGGGCCGGCCCGGTGGCACACTGCTACAGTGCGCTGCTTGGGAGCGCAGCAGCGCTCCCGCCGAGGGTTCGGATCCCACATACAGACCGACGGCTCACTGGCTGAGCGAGGTACGGGTGCAACACCGAGGGTTGCGACCCCATTGCCGGTCCCGGTCCAGTACGGGCGCGACACTGAGGGTTGCGATCCGTTGCCGGTCACGAAAAAAGACAAAAAGGAAAAATAAATAAATAAATAAATAAATAAGACTTTTGTGTCCCACCAATTTAATTTCCAAACAACCATTCCCACTAAAATCAAAGGAATGTCCTCTCTCTTCTACAAAGAAATCAAGCTTATTTCTTTAAATCTTCATTCAGAACTATCCTTTCCCTAGAACTCTTTTTATCTACCCCTGCCCAGCCAAATACCAAATCCTTCAGTTCATATCTCAACTTGCCCTGGAAGCATTTCCCAACCACTCCCACTTTTAATCATTTGTCCTTTTCTCCAAAACCCTTACACACATTTATTACTTTGTATTATCTACTATTATCTAATCTTTTAAGGTAATTTGTAAATTAACTGTATCTTTTATTTCCATATACCCTATCGGCCCCCAAAGCAAATGTATGGATATTACATTTAGTATGAGTTGACTGATCTAAACTAACAGTGGTTATTTCTGAATAATAAGATTATGAATAATAATCATTTTCTTTTTCTTCCTTTCTTATAGTTTTCGAATTAATCATAACCAAAAAGAATGAATTTATCTGGCATTCTATGACTCAGAAATCTTATAATGGTATTTCTATAGATCCTAAGATTCTAAAATATCTTCTGGATCACAAATGAATGCATGCATAAAAAAAGTCAGTGGAATTTTAACTATTTTCTGTACTGTAGTTTTTATTTTTTTAAAAAAAATCAGTGGCTATTTGGTTAAGTAGAGCATGGTGCTGATAAAACTAAGGTCAAAGGTTTGGAACCCCGGCCAGTTGCCAAAAAAATAAAATAATTAAAAAAAATTTTTAAATCAGTGGCTCATATATGGTACCCAAGGCAACCCTATTATTCAATGTACATGGTATTTTCTGGTTAAAACTTCACTGTTTCTCATTGTTTTTCAATAATTGGTATTTTCATGATGACTTTATGCTCAAAACATTTAACTTTCTACTACAACACAAAAGTGATACTGTCAATGTATTTGCATATATTTGAAACACCAAATACAATTTTATAAAATTCTTACCTAATCCTTTTTGTCCTGGATTCTTTGCAAAATTAAAAGTAAACTGGTAAAAATCCTTAAATCGTCCTGGTTCTTTCAATTCTTGTTCCATCTTGGGTATCTGGGCCTTTAGTTTTTCTATGCTGTCACATCTACATTATAAAATTAAGTTCATAAAAGATTAAATTTTTTACTACAAATTAAGATCTTATTTACTCCTATGAGGACTTATATTTATTTCCTAGAACTTCTTTTTTAAAGTCAGATAGGCAGAATTTCATCTTTTTACATTACTTAGATACAAACAAGTATGGAGTTAGCGGAAGAGGAGGTCTGGAGTCATTAAACGTTAGAAATAATTACTATTTTTAAAAGAAATGGGCTATTATTTTCAATTACATAATACACTGGACTAAAACCATCAACTTGTAGAAGTGCGTTTCAGTGAATAAGAATGTACAGCAGTCAGCATAACAATCACCAGTTTAAACTGTGTTAGATACTGCTTACATGTTAATCACGTTTAGCTTCCAAACTAATTGAAAGCTGGTCTCTTGCTTAGGTGAGGAAGCATTCTTCTCAAAAACTTGCTTCTTGTGAAATGCAAAGTATAATAATAAAAAATATCAACCGAAACCCCATCACATCCAGTTGAATTATCTCAAATCAGTATAAAGTTTTTTCTGTATCTGCAAACTATTCAACTTTCACAGTTGAAAAAGTCCAAGTACCAAGCCTTACTTTCCTCATAATAGTCTTGAGATAGAAATATTCTATTTCTTATAGATTCCACAAACCAATCCACTTTTTTTTTCTTCTAATTATTTTTGCTTTTATTTTCCTTCTACATTCTTTGTAACACCTTCCAGATCATTAGTCTCTAAATTAAAATTTTGATTTGGAAGTTCATTACATTTTACATGAATTCAGTTTCAAATGAAAAAGTCAAGTATCGGGCTGGCCCGGTGGCACAATGGATAGTGCGCCGCTTGGGAAGCGCGGCGGCGCTCCCGCCCGAGGGTTCGGATCCCACATACAGACCGGTTCCCGCTCACTGGCTGAGCGAGGCGCGGGAGCAGCACCGAGGGTTGCAATCCCGTTGCCGGTGCCCGGTCCGGTACAGGGGCAACACTGAGGGTTGCGATCCGTTGCCGGACACGGAAAAAGACAAAAAAAAATAAAGAAAGAAAGAAAGAAAGGGAGGGTATGACTAAAACAATATGTGGAGAAATAATGACTAAGTTTTCTAACTTTGGTGAAAATTATAAAACCACAGATCTAAGAAACTCAGTGAATCCCAAGTGCAAAAACTACACCGAAGCACGTTATAATCAAATTGCTTAAAACCAGTGATAGAGAGAAAATCTTAAAAGCAACAGAGACAGAAGCTAAATTAGGTACAAAGGAACAAAGATAAGGATTACAGCAGGCTTTTCATCTTGCTAAGATAATAAGTGGAGCAAGAACTTATTGTGTCAACCTAGAATTCTATACCCAGTGAATCAAGCATTGTTTCCTTAAATTCTAATAAAACTTGTACTACCATAGAAAATTCTAGCAAGTTCAGGATAGGGCTGGTTTTGGCTGTACAACATGGTGTCCAGGCCAATTATTAATTTAACTTATTGCCTCTCAGCTTTAAACCCACCCTTCGGGCCGGCCTGGTGGCGCACTGCTATAGTGCGCCGCTTGGGAGCGCAGTAGCGCTCCCACCGAGGGTTCGGATCCCACATACAGACCGGCGGCTCACTGGCTGAGTGAGGTGCGGGCGCAACACCGAGGGTTGCGATCCCGTTTGCCGGTCCCGGTCCGGTACGGGCACGACACTGAGGGTTGCGTTGCCGGTCACGAAAAAAGACAAAAAAAAGGAAAAAAAAATAAAAAATAAAAAAAATAAACCCACCCTTCTTTGCCCTACTTTGCAATACTGGACTACAAACCTTAAGTCTTCATTTCTCTTGCCAACTGGCTCAATGTTAGGTTCTACCAAGAGAAGGCAATGAAAGGTCAGAAGAGGAAGAAGGAACTTTTCTTACTGCAGTCTGTTTTCTGCAGAGGGCAAGGGTTTCAGTGTCCACCAATAATGGCAACTCTCAAAGCTCGGCAACAGGTGGCCTCTAACCAGTTATTCCTCCACCACATTGGAAACACAGCCGGCATCCTTTTCCTGCAGCAGCCACGCCCTCTCCTCCAAGGTCTGAATCTCAGCCTATGAGGATCTCTTACGTTTCTAAATTCCTTCCTTGTTTGTTCACTTTCCTAAACCCCAGGAGTGGTAGCAGCTTCCTTGAACTGCTACCTGTTACACCTTAGAATTTTATTTTACTCCTTTTTCATAGTAAAACCAACTCTTTAAACCTTCCCTGGTGTGGTTTTTGTGTCCTGATTATGATGTCCTTAGAGCTCAAGAGTCATGATACCTGGGTTCAACTCCTGACTCTACTACTACCTAATTCTATAATTTCTCTATACCTCAGTTTCCTCATCTCTAAAATGCAGATATAAACACTACTACTCTCACAAAGTTATTGTGAAAAGATAGTTACTGAAATAAAATAATGCTCAATAAATGTTAGCTATTATTCAACAATGGCCCACTAAAAACAGAAGAGGCAGTCTACCCACAGACTGAATACTTTGGCAGCCTCATTAACTACAGAAAACTAGAGGTCATAGGTAAACCTCTGCCCATTACTTTTCATATATTTATTCAGATATTCAGTTAATCAGCTGTCAAGGCATAAGTGGAACAAAAACCAATTAGTGTCAAAGGACAAAAATACAACAAACTTAAAGATCTCAATTGGCTTTATTGCAATTCTAGAATCAGGCAACACTTCATTCCATAAAACAGAATAAATATTCCAATGAGCCAGGCAGAGGCGGCTGGTTTTATAGACAGAAAAAGGGTTGAAAGGGCCGGCCCCGTGGCGCACTCGGGAGGGTGCAGCGCTGGGAGTGCAGTGTCGCTCCCACCGCAGGTTCAGATCCTATATAGGAATGACCGGTGCGCTCACTGGCTGAGTGCGGTGTGGGCGACACCAAGCCAAGGGTTGCAATCCCCTTACCGGTCACGAAAAAGACAAAAAAAAAAAGAAAAAGAGTTGAAGAAAATAGAAAGTAAAAAACAAAAAAAGCCAAACTGGTCATTTCAAATTATCTTCCTTACAGGGAAGGGACTGGGAGACAGAACAATACAAAAGTAACTGATTATTTAACATTAGGTTATTCAGGCTATCCTTTTTGTGTAAGGACTACAGAAGAGAAATTTCATTATCATGCCTATTGAAGATTTAAACTGGGGGGCGGCCCCATGGCGCACTCGGGAGAGTGCAGCGCTGGGAGCGCAGCAACGCTTCCGCCGCGGGTTTGGGTCCTATATAGGGATGGCCGGTGGGTTCAATGGCTGAGCGCGGTGCGGGCGACACCACACCAACGGTTGCGATCCCCTTACCAGTCACGAAAAAAGACATATACTAAATACATGAAGCAATATTACTCTAGCAGATATTCTGCCCATAATAATATTTAAAGTCACTCTGCCCCCTAAACAGCATTCTGTAATTGTACAGGAGGGTACATATGCAGGTAGACACTTAATTTTTAAAAGTCTCATTTATTCATGTGAAAAATGTCCCATACTTACACACATTCAGAAAATCAGACATTCCTAGTGACAAGGGATTCTAATTCAACATATCCGTATTTTAAGTAGGCATTCTAAATTAACAGTATTACATACAGAAATTCTTTTTTTCTTAAAACAAGGTTCATTTTACCACAGCAATCACTTCTTAAGAGTACCAGAAAAATTATAAACTATGCGCTTCAATTCTAATGATATAAACATCTGTTGTTTAAAGGAAAAAAGATCAGCATTTACTTAGAATGGAAATTAAATAATGACAAACACAAGGAGAAAGAGGTATTCATACACTGCTATCAAATATGACTTGCTAACACCTTTGTATTATATTCTGGCATTATCTCTAGCAATAAAAAACATACACATCTTTTGACTCTGGAGCATGAGTTAAGCATAAAATATAATCTCATTTTTGAGAAGGTTTTGAAAGAAACTGTATATATTTCTGCATAAACATAAAAGACATGGAAGGATCCACACTGGGCTATTAAATATTCATTACCTCAGGAAAATAAATAAGGAAAAGATGGAGAAACGATTAACCTTTTCTTTATTCACCTATTACGTACAGTTCAACTTTTTACAAGTATGCATTACTCTATAATTCCTGAAAATGTTATTATGCAGGTTTTCTTAAAATCTGATTCAGCTGAGTTTTATAAAAATGAGGGGAGAAAACAGTCCCTCATCCCCCATTCTCAAATTGGATAATGGAGAAGGAAAATAAGAACAAGGGAAAAAATAAAGAGGCCAAGAAGAAATTTTCGTGAAAAGAGGAAAATAATTTCTCTTCTCACATCTCTTAAAATAAATTAATTCCAAGACACACTCACCCAATTTATGTTCTACGTGGTATCTGATTTCTCACAAGCCCATAACTTTGAAAAACCTTGTTCAAAATATTAAAGTAACAAGTAAACACTCACCTTTGTATCTATTGTATAGTTGCTCTAACTTCTTCCTGTCCAATGATCCTTTTACACTCTCTCGTATATAAAGTTCAGGATTTTGGAAAAAATTATCTGTTGCAACATCTAACTTCCAGTCATTTTGAGACAGACAACTCACTGCTGTTTTTTCACTAGATTGTGTGAAGATCATAAACTGACGAACTTTATCCTTCTGCGATGATTTCAACTTGTTCTATTGAAACCAGAAAGTAAACTTAAACTCTATGTAAACATTACGTTAAGACTAAGTATTTCTATATGACTGTCTTAATAATACTTTTTCCTCATAAGACTTTAAAACATTTTAGCTTGAGACTTATTTTTATCACTAATCAGAAAGAAATTGTTTACAATTCTGAAACACAAATGTGGTACAGTTCTGGGAAGAAACAACTAGAACAGAGGCAAAGGAAGCTCAACCACCCTGCATTTCTCCTAAAAGCGGATCCTGAAAGCATATGTAAAGGCTCTAGAAGGAAAGTGCAGCTGCTCTCAAAACACTGATCGAGCACGAAGCTCCAAGGGGATGCATAAGGAATAGTGGGGAAGAAGGTGACATCTAACCAGTCTGTCAAATAATCCTGGGGAACAATGAGATTAATAGGTGTTTGCTGCAGTCCTAATACCCAATATAAAGAACATAGGGTGCCATTTCCCCCCAAACCATCTACCTTGTTTTCTTGTAATTTTACCAAATGGGAGAAAGCAATAGAATATGAGTATCCTACATTTCTCCTTGTGGTATTCAGTAACCAAGATAATCATCAATAGAATGACCTCGTATTTTCACTCAAATTGGAAAAAGCACCCTGGCCTAACAATTTTTTTTTTTTTTTTTTTTTTTTTTTTTTCTGGCAGCTGGCTGGTATGGGGATTCAAACCCTGGACCTTGGTGTTACCAGCACCACGCTGCAACCAAGTGAGCTAACCAGTCAGTCACTGAGGTAATTTTTAATAGGATTCTTCCCCTTCTCTTTCCCCTAAAAGAATCATCTCTTTCCCTTAGCCAGAGCCTAGCAGAGGCCCTTGCTCTCTTCACCTCTTCTCACCTGCCCAACGTTGACAAGAATTCATTTCTCATCTGACCTGAACCCAAAGTAACATGAGGCAAGGCAATTAGGCCCTCCACTCTCCCAGTATAAAGGACCCTGTTCTCCCTCCGCTCCCACGCAAGCTGGTCTCCTGTACAACTTCAGCCTCCTCCCTGTCATTCTTCCCACTCCCAAGTTCCAGTACCATCTCTCAGAAAAACATCTGAGTTCTTCCTGAGCTACTATTGCAAAGGAAAAAGTACTTGAGTAAGGGAACCCATTAATAGATACAGTATTCTGTGGTTTAAACAACACATCTGAGAACCCCAGAATCTCTGATCTGGCCTTAACCAACAGATCACAAACCTCAACCCCCTGACTGAACAGATGAAAAAACAGACCCAGAAGGCTAAGGAATTTGTTAAAAAATCACCCAGGCTGTTATTAATAGAAATGAGACAAGAATAAAGAGGTCTTTTTTTTTTTTTTAAAGATAACCGGTAAGGGGATCTCAACCCTTGGCTTGGTGTTGTCAGCACCACGCTCAGCCAGTGAGCAAACCGGCCATCCCTATATAGCATCCGAACCCGGGGCCTTGGTCTTATCAGCACCGCACTCTACCGAGTGAGCCACGGGCCAGCCTAGGAGGTCTTAATGAATATGAATCTTAGTAATCTTTCCATAAACCACACTGCTTGCTGTACATATTTATAAGACTTTTGAGATTTTTCAGGAAAAAGACAAGCAAAGATATAAATATTTCCATATATCACAGAGTGAAAATAAGATTATGCAAAATCAAATATGAAAACCAACCCTATCTCTTGCAAATGAAAAATGTCTATGCCCTGGAGTCTAATCTGTCAGCCATGCTCTTCTTTCTCTGTAAATATGTTACTGTTTAGGATTACAGATTAAAATCACAACCTCTGTTCTCCATTAACATTGAGAAACTATAAATCCATGAACCTTCTGCTACTTCACTAATAACTTTACCACCTCTAGACACGAATAAGTCCTACCCCATTATACAACACATCCTCAAATATCTAGGATTCTTCCCTTTTGAAAACTCTCTCCTCCTCAAGATTCATTATTCAATGACAACTCGCAGTGATAGCAAATGCTAAGATAACTGTCCTAACTTATTTTTCTGTTTAACTGAAAGTTAACAAGGAAACCATTTTGACTTTGTTTTTGAAAAGTATTTTAAAATAGTATACTCTTTTCCCTTGAACTATACAGTATGATGATACAGTATACTGACATATGTTTTACTCCTCCTTTGAAGGACAAGGAAGTACCTGTGGGTCACTGTGATTAAAATGACCACTGTACAATGTTGTGCAAAGTATTGGAGATTAACCTGGAAGTACACCAAACACAGGCCACGCTCTAGAAATTATTTTTTAATGAAACCTGGTATAACTTCTAGACATAACTTTCCCTCAGTCTCCTAAAAGTTGGAGGTGGGAAAACAAGTTTATTTGGAGTTTTATCATACAATATTAAATCTAGTGGTCTGTTCTCTGTAGCTTTAATCATATTTGTTGAAGAGAGGAAGGGAAAAATGACAGCTAAAGTCACTTCCGCAAGCCAAAAAGAGCTGTTCACTCTATTAATGACTTCCTGTCAGAAAGAAAGGCATTAAAAAACTGGGGGAACAAAGACAAAAAATAGTCTTACCACACAAACTAATAACAAAATTATATAAATGAGTTATTTAATTCCATGTCATATCTTATTTTTAAAAAGTATATGTAATGAACAACATATATGTACATGTAGATTATTTTAACTGGTTTTTCTAGTGTACGGGCCAATATCAATATATTTCAAGAAAAAGGCTGCAGGTACCCATTTCCAATACCATAGAGACTAATGATTGATACTAGGCAAAAAACTGATAGCATGGATTCCTGCTAGGCCAAGTGGATATGGGCAATCCCATTCTACAAAGTCTGATAAGTGCCTAGAATAAATTTTAACACTTGTTTCCCTACGAGGGAGGATATACTCAATTCCACAGTCTCAAAGGCTGCCCTAAAGTAAAACTGGAGTGGATTAAATATACTTGTGCTTTTCCTAGGCCTACTTAAGGCAGTGAGCTACCTCATTCCCACCCTCTATTCCCAAGACACATGGGTGGGTACACCAGGCAAGGTGTTCTGATTTTAAGAGTATGGCATCAAAGGTTTAAGTTTTTATGAACCTAAGAAATAGGAAAAGGGTGACTAACCAGAGAAGAATTATTTTACAGGGAATGAGAGAGTGGATAAAAAACTGAGGTGGAAGAAAAAGGAGATGGATTTTCTCTATTTCCACTACAAACCAAGTGATGATCTTCTCAAGAGCAAAAACATGTGACAGCTAGAATGATTCAGCACTCAAATGTAGTGTATGCCATTTACTTTAATACTTATTTAAAATAAACAAACTAGAGTGGTCATTAAATAAGACTAGGCAACACAATCTTCAGTACTTAATGTTAAAACTATCCAGATATTATCAAGTTTTCAAGGAAATTCAAGAGAGGTATATAAAATGTATAAAACAGAAGATATATTTTGATTATTTTTAATTCTGCCCAAAAAGGGGAGCGGAGGGGATTAGGAGAGTGGGAGAGAAATGCTATCTCTTGTAATACAAAGCTAATTACAACTGTATCAAAGATTACCAAAGTTAGAAATACTATCACAACCTGGACAGTAAAATACACTTATTTGCATTTTAAACCAGTCTTCAAACCAGACTGGCAGGCTTTTAATCCTACCTATTCTTACTTTCCAAAATAAAAATTGGCTAGGTTATTAACACATATTATTTTATCCTTAAATCTAGCACATTTGCATTTTTTTTCCACTCAAGAAATATAAGAATCACATTTAAAATAGTTTATCCGGAAAAAGTTTCAGACAAATACTCTGGATGTAGTAAGTATCATACAGTCAAGTATATTTTACCACTAAATCTACAAAGTCTACTGTGAGTAGAAGAATGAGGGCTCAAAAAGGCTCCACAGTAAAAAAAACAATAATGATGATAAAGTTAAAGTCTTCCTAGTACAAGTATTTCTCTCAAGAAAAACAATAAGCATGTAAAATGACTTTCTAATCAACTAAGTCCTAACAATTTGAAAATAGAAATAATTTCAATGAGAAAGCATTATTTTTAAAAGCAAAAAAAGATCCATTTTATTATTCTGAATTTTTATCTTCTTGCCCTTAAATTTCAACTTGTCTGAACTCCAGAAACACTTAAGACTTTTTATTTTTAAAGGAATTAATTTTCTAATTTAATTCTAGTTATTTCAGGATTTGATGACTCTAGCTCATAAAAGTCAATGTTTTAAAAGTCAAAGCACTTTAATGATCACTTACTAAAAGCTCTGTATGTTGATTCTCATGTTATTGCCACATGGCTAACAGTTTAACTTCATCTGTAACTTAGAAGAGCTAGTTTTAATCTAGAAAATCATACTTTCTTTATGTGATATACAGCATTCAGCAGATATAGCCAAATGTTACCACTATCCAAAAAACACTCATCTACATAAGGCCTTCCCATAGATTATAGGTCTGAGGTCAAAAGTGCAGGAAAAAATCAATTTAATTGAGACTACTCCTAGAAGACTTTCACCTAGGGGCAAAGTTCTACTGCAGGAAAGTCAGGCTAGGAGTAGCTCTTTTCCCCTCTACCTGCACAGAGAGAATATAATATGACTGGCTTAGAGTACAGACTTCAAACCAGACTGGCAGGATTTTAATCCTACCTGTGCCTCATAATTGCTGTGTGATTTTAGCAGAATTACTTAATCTCTCTGTGCTTCAATTTCTTCAACTGTACAAAGGGTGTTAAGGCTACATGAATTAATTCAGGTTAAACTCTTACAACTGTTAACTAGCACATAGTAAGGACTCTTTACAAGTCCATACAGGAAGGACAAACACTCCAAAGAAAAAAGTAAATGTATTTAAATGGTGAAGTTAGGAAGAATAACAACTCATAATCAGAAAACTAGCAGCAAACATTTATTTGAGCTCCTACTGTGTACCAGGCTAGATATTTAATTATTAACAATTCTGCAAGATGGTATCATTGATTGCATTTTACCAGTGAGGAAACCAAGCCTCTGAGCGCGATTTACCTACTTAACCAAAAAATAGCAGAGCCAGGAACGAAACCCTGGTGCCCAGCATGCAGTCTTTCCATTTATTCTACATTGTCTTCAAGTGAAAGGAAAAACAAAAAGGGAAAAAGTGCAACCACTAACTATTTGTGTGTTGGGGGGAGGAGGGAAATTTTGAGCAATATTTCTTTACCTATTTTTATGGAAAAGTTAAGTAGTCAACTGATCTTTCCCTTTTCAAATGTAAACAATTTGCATTCTGATTAAAAATTCCTCATTAAGGGCCGGCCCAGTGGCGCACTGGATAGTGCGCCGCTTGGGAAGCGCGGCGGCGCTCCCGCCCGAGGGTTCGGATCCCACATACAGACCGGTTCCCGCTCAGCGAGGCGCGGGAGCGGCACCGAGGGTTGCAATCCCGTTGCCGGTCCTGGTCTGGTACGGGGGCAACAATGAGGGTTGCGATCTGTTGCCGGACACGGAAAAAGACAAAAAAAAAGCGAGGCGCGGGAGCGGCACCGAGGGTTGCAATCCCGTTGCCGGTCCTGGTCCGGTACGGGGGCAACAATGAGGGTTGCGATCTGTTGCCGGACACGGAAAAAGACAAAAAAAAAATTCCTCATTAAGCATTCCCTCACAACC